TAGTTCACATCCCCAAACTTGTGTTCCTCTTGCCTCAATCTTCCAAATGCTGGGATTACAAGCATGTTCCATACCTGGCTAAGTTTTCATTTTTAATTTTGCAAACCTATCAATTTCCTTATAAGGAAAAATCCCCCTAGGTAGAGTAGCCCTTGCAGGACCTCGTAGCCACATTTACCTACGCAAGGAAAAATACCCCTTGTCAGGGAACGTCCCTGCTTTAACTGGCTGTTCACCGTTGGCTGGCTCATGGCGAACAATCCAGAGGGTCAGGGCAGATTTAGTGCATAATGAATACCACATGATACATAATATTTTCTGCATAGGTGATGGCTGCGTGCTCATCATGGTGTTATTCTGTTTGCTGGTTTATCTTGTACCTGAAACCCAGCTGGGTTTTTCTCACTGGTGTCCTGTGGCCCATTTAGGAAATTGAAAAGGCCTGGAAGATGGTGGACTCGGCCTATGATAAGGAGCAGAAAGCCAAGGAGACGATTCTTGCCCTGAAAGAGGAAATAGTAAACTTGACCAAGCTAGTCGAGCAAGGGTCTGGACTGTCACTGAACCAGGATAGCAAGTAGGTTGAAATCCTCTTCATGTCCCTGAGTTCCTCTTGCAGAGGCCTCAGCCTGGCACGGTGGGAGTGGCACCCTGGTGCTGGCACAGGTCTTCTTGAACAGTTCTCTGAAATGCAAAACTCTCCATTCCCAGACATTATTTTCTTTTGTGATTTTTCTTTTCTAATACTCCCTCTCTCTACGCTGAAGAACTTCTGATTTGTGCCTACATTACACTTCTGGTTTTCTAAGAATCAGTACTAGAGTTACCGACACTAAAGATTTAGATTTATTTCCTGCAGACTCGTAGAGAGTGTGACTGGCTGCCTTTCTGCCCAGAGCCCCAGCTCCTCCTCCTCCCCTCATGATTAATCCCTTTGCCACCCTTCTTACTTCCTCAGGCTCCAGGCCAGAGGCCAGGGCTGCTCCCCCCTCCCCCCCCCCCGCCGCCACTCTTTCATCCCTGGAAGCGCTGTCACGTCCATTCCGTACCTTTCCTTCTTCATTCCTGGGGCTGGGGCTGCTACTGTGCCGTGCTGGGTTTGGCAGTGCCCTTCGAACTGGTCTTCCTTGCAGAAGACATCTGCCTCTTCATCGCTTTCAGATCCACGCTTCTGAGACACTCATGGAAACTGGCCACAGTGGAAACACTATCTGTAGCTACTTGCACCCAAAGGAGAAATCCCAGACTCTGGAGCACATCACATAAAATCATCCACAAATCTGCCTCACTAGTTTCCTCAGCCTTCTGTCCAGCCACACCATGTTGCTCCTGCCCTTGTGCCTTTGCACGCACTCTTTCTTGGCTCGGAATGCCTTGCTTTCCTTTCTCCTCTCCATAAACTCCTATGCACCCTTTAAGATCCATCTCAGACACCATCTGAACTTTGTCACTGTTGGCATCTCTGTTCAGCCTCCTCTCCACCTCCAGACCCCAATGAAGATGTAGTACGAGGCACAGCATACTCTGTTTCCATAGGACCCGACATCTAATCCAGTAAGGCACAGATTGCATTGGATTGGATTATTTGCTACTGTGCTTCTCTACCCATTAGCAATGCTATGAACTCCTATGATAAAGACACTTTTATATTCCCTGGAGGAGTTCAGGCACTATACGGGTCATGCAAAACATAACATTAAGTAGTGAATCAGGAATGGGCATATACTTCTTTGGGCATCCTTAACCAAATCAAATGTGGTTAGGTTCCTTATGTTTTCTTGATCCATGGGTCCAACTCTGATAGATAGTTCTAGGTGCAGGTGCTGGGGGGAAGTAATAAGAAAAACAACGAGAAGGTGTGATTCCTGTAGTGATGGTGCTGTCATATTCTAGCATGTTCGGAACATCTAAGGAAGAGAAAAATGGGAACTGGCTCAGATGGGGGAGTTTTGAATGAGAATTAGAAGAGGGTGGGGAAGAGAGCTGAAGGCACTGTCTAGCTCAGAGTTTTATCATCAACAGTGTGCTCAGGTGTAGCAGTCTCAATTCATAGTAACTTGGGATGGAGGTTTGGTTTCTGGAGAAGAAGCACTTGAGTATGGACTGGAAATTTCCTTATTAAACATTGACGCTACACTAAAGATGTTAGTAAATAAGCACCGTCAAGCTACTGTGTTTTGAGCAGTCGTTTGATAGCTGCCAGCAGCAAGAGTCTGCAGGGCAAGTTTTCTTCTGTTTTCTCTCTGCTCAGAACTGCCTGGATCTAGATTCGTTGTGCTGCAGAGGTCGTAGCAGACCCAGCTTTCACTCACAAAGTACTAATTTTTCAGAAAGTCATGCCAAGTCAGACAGAAGGGTTTTTGGAATGGAGAGGTAACTGGTTTACAATTCAAATCAATGAAAATTCTCACAAACTCTCTAAAACCCGGCATCATGGGCGGTTTTTCAAATTTTGTTCTAGCGAACATTTTATCTGGTCAACATCCCTTTGGGAGAAACTAATCTCTCTGGGTGAATGAAAAGAAAATTGGCAATGCATATTTTTCGCCTATGTTTATGTTTCATTTGAGACTTTATAGCTGTAATCATAGCCTCCAGTAGATCTATTAAACAAATAATTTCCTAAATTGACATCTCCTTAGGGTTAATTACAAGAGTTGACAACAGCGATAAAGTATTATTAACAGATCCAAATAATACAGAGTTGTGGAAACTATCTTTTCTCCTAAGTTTGCCACTCTAAATTCCTCAGAGATAATCTGTTACCTGATTCTCTGGGTTTCTATAAAAAGGCCTTTAGAATATACACATAAAGCCAGGCATGGTGGTGCCTGGCTGTAATCTCAGCACCCTGGGAGGCAAAAGCAGGAGGACTACAAGCTCAAGACCAGTCTGGGCAACGGAGCAACTTAATGAGAACATGTCTAAAAATAGTAAAAAAAAAAAAAAAGAAAAAGAAAAAAAAGGCTGGGGACGTAGCTCTGTGCCAGGACCCTAGGCTGACATGAATAGATGCTGTATTTTCTTGAACATCACCAAGGGATCACATTGCAGTTGTTATTTTGGATACCTTTTGTCAGTGAACGTCTTCCAAGAGTCTCCACAGGACTGGAGAGTTTCTGTGTAGAGCCTGAGCAGTGCTCACCATGTGCCTGAAGACTTTCCCACAGAAACTGTCCTGGGGACCAGAGAAAGGACCCCTGAGCAGATGGCCGCTTAGCCCCTCTCCTGTGTTCTTGCTTTTTAGTATCCGAGATTTACTGAAGTTCAAGGAAGAAGTGACCAAGGAGCGGGATCAGCTCCTGTCAGAAGTGGTAAAATTACGAGAGTCCTTAGCTCACACCACCGAGCAGCAGCAGGAGACAGAGCGAGTGAAGGAGGAGGCAGAGCAGACCATCAGCCAGGTGGGCACCACGGTGCAGGTGTGGCTGGGGATGAAGCAAGGCTGCCTCCCTGGGACGGCCTGCCCTTCCCTTCCCTCCCGTTCCCTTCCCTTCCC